GAGGAGAAGTGGGTCTTTGTACAGGTGACTTTCTTTATAAATACAAGTGTCCGTTAGAAAAAGTTCAACAGTATCTGATCCACTTGACAGATCAGTGTTTAGTTTTAGAAAGAGCTTTACGGCACTTGCAACACATTGAGGTCATATAAGTGCCGAAGACTAGACCTATGTATTACAAGAGAGTTACAAACAGACAAAAGGAGGAGAGAGATAAGAACGATAGATGTTTGATAAGAAAGAAGGAGAAACCACACCATCAACCACCCACGCAGTTACACGGTACAGTCAAAATAATTGTCTTTTCTTTCCGTAAGATTTTAAGGCACTTGCAACACAGTAAGGTCATATAAGTGCTGAAGATTAGAAGCGTTACAAGGGAGTAACAAACACAAAAAAGGAGGAGAGATAAGGACAACAGGCGTTTGATAGGAAAGAAGGAGCAAACCACACCAGAGCACCCTCCAACCACCCAAAATAATTGTCTAAAACAAACATCCATTGTTGAAGAGAGAAGTGTCCGTCCTATATAATATGTACACATCATGCACAGAGTCGTCATGATATAAAAAAGACACAAAGGGAGAAAATGAAAGTGGATGTTTGCACAGGTGATTGTCTTAAACAAGGAGCCCTTACAGCGGGTTCAACTGTATCTGATACACCAGACTGATCACAGTTTACTTTTAAAAGAGGTTTTACGGCGCTCGCAACTGCAAAAGGTCATATGAGCGCCAGAAGATTAGAGGTGTTGCAAGAGAGTAACAAACATAAAAAAGAAGAACGGGCGATAAGGACGATAGACATTTGATAGTAAAGAAGAAGCAAACCACACCAGAGCACCCGCCAACCACCCACTAGTAAGAGTTTTACGGCACTTGCAGCACAATTAGGTCACATAAGTGCCACATCCCAGTGCAAAAGTCAGATCGTAATGCAAAGACAAAGAATGAAGTGCGTCTATTTTGTTGAAAAACAGCGACCCTGAGAAGAATTATTATAATTAATGAGAAAAGAAGACCGAGATTCCCACCAAAAGTCATTTTCGAATCAGACTATGAAAGTACAGTCAAACCTGCTCTTTTTTTTTATAGTAGATGGTTTTATGGCGCTCGCAACTGCATAAGGTCATATGAACGCCAAGGGGTGGGTGTCAAGAGAGAAGTCTTTACAGGGAATCAGACTTAGACTGCTCACCTCTCTAGCTTCAACAGCACAAGGTCTGCTTCGACAATCATGGCACCCCGGAAATAGCAGGTCACAAGAGAGTGACAAACATACAAAAGAAGTAGAGGAAAATGACAATAGTAAGGAACAGGAAAGAAAAAGCAGCAGTTCCCTATTGTAGATCAGGCACAGTTATGAGCGTGACATGAGTCAGCCCATTTACAAATCTACTATGCTTGAACAAGAAATGTTCCCCCTTTGGGAATGGCCTAAAGACATTACATTCCGTGGCACTGCCCCGGGTGGTAACACCTGCTCTAACAACCACCTAGCTGTCCTAGACAATCACCTGTACAAACGACCACTTCCCACTCTTCCTCCTTTTGAGTCTTCTCCATATTTTATGTGAGGTGTGCCGACAAAACGAGTTACTTCTCACAATCCACAAATGGAGATATAATGGCCAAAAATCCGACATTAGGGTCAAATCGTAGATTTTCTTTCGATGCCATATATTCTTCAACTAGATCTATAACCTGTCTTTTATTATTTCATACTAATAAATTTGAAAAACTTCACCTATAAACATGAAGCATCTATTTCCTTAAGGCTTGGATCCGAGAAGTAACCCATTTTGTCAGCATGCTTCACATATTACAATGACAGTCTCCAAGAAGACCACCTGCCTAAGATGACCGCATTTCTCCAAAAAACGATAAAACAATACGCGGTCGTCTTAGACAGATATGGAAGTGGCGCTCCCAGCGCAGGAAGTGTAGAACGCCCAGCGGAAAAAAAAAATCCTGGAAAGTTGAGGCCCAGCGATCTGAAACATATCGTCGAACAGACAGATTTCATTTTTGCACTTACCTGCCACTCCTTCCCCGGCTGCTTCGATGACGTCATGGTGTGAACCACGAGGTATCCAAGGGACGCAACTCCCGATGTTACCAACAGCACTTTTGACGTCCTTGACAGGCCTTTGTTTGACTGGGCAGTACTTTGTCCTTGACAGGAAGCCAAATGTAAAAAAATAAAAGGTTTTTTTTCTTGAACAAGAAGGCAAAGGTCTTGTGCATGGGGGGGAGGGGGGGCGGGCAATGGAGGTGTGGAGGCAAGGTATTTACAAAGCAGTAAGCCAAATAGGAACCCACAGGGTAAGAGATCAAGTGGAAGACCACATGGAACCTGGAGAAGAATCACAGAAATGGATGTACAGAAAAGTGGGAAGACATGGAATAACATCAAGAGGCTAGCCCAGGATAGAGAAAGGCGGAAGGTGTTTGTCCGTGGTCTATACTCTGGAGCAGGGCGAGATAGGCAATGATGATGAAGCCAAATTCTCAAAAACTATTTTTTTTTAAATCATAGTAACAAAAACTTTATAATTATGATATAAGTGTGAGACAGCTGTGATGTAATTTTCTTTGCCTCTTTCTCTCCTTTTTAAAATGCTGGAGAGGACCCTACAGGTGCCAAAACAAAAAACCAAAAAAAAACCAAATAGTTAAAAGAACAGAAATACAACAGAGAAAAATGAGCAAGGCTGCAGACAACACGAAAAAGGAGGGAAAAAGTTTTTTAAAAACTATGGGGGAAACATAATAACTCATAATCATACGGGGATGAGATTTCTTCCATCCAACACAGGTGAACGCAGCATGATAAAGTAAGTAAGTTCTTTTCTTCTTCCTTTTTCTAAGCCTAAACATTTTAAGTCATATATATTTGTCAAAAGTTAAGAAGTAATAATAAAATTACATGAAATATTATTACATCAAATTGTCAACAATAAAAATTGCCTTTGTTTTCAACCACTCCTCAATCCCCTTTAAAATCTCTTCCCTTTGGCTTCCCCTTGAAGTAGCTTTTATTAAACTTGAATTTCTAACTTCCTTTGAAGTAATTCAAACTTAAACTTCTTTAGTTTTAGAAGAAGTTTTACGGCGCTCACAACTGCATAAGGTCATATGAGCACCAGAAGGTCAGAGGTGTTACAACAAACATCAAAAAGAAGAAGTGGAGATAAGGACGATAGATGTTTCATAGGAAAGAAGAAAGAAGCAAACCACACAAGAGCACCGACCAACCACCCACTTTAAACTTGTAATTTCCCTTGCAGTAACTTGAGCTTTTCTGTTACCTCTTGCGCTCTGCTGACACAAAAGAGAACATTGCGAGTTTTGAAAGCCCTGAGAGCCCTGTAATAACACAGGTCTCCGCACTCCAGGCTTCTGGTTGTACACATTTCTGACCAGCTCCCTGTACGGCTTTCCAACAAAAAGAGAAGGCCGGAAGCAGGAATTCTGGAGGTACGTCCTCAGCTCGTTATTCAACCTAGGCATCGCCATTCTGAAAAACATGCGAAAACAGTGTTATATATATGATGAGGCTACAATTATTTGGATCAAAACGAATCTGCATAGAAATAAGGAATAACAACTCTACAAGAATCAAGAAACATTACACTACCGTGCTGAACAGGGAGCACTCCTTCTTTTTGTTAAGTGTTTCACAGCTCTCGAAACTGCATAAGGTCATATGAGCGAGCGGGGAACAGCTATTTCTCTCTTTTATAAATGCATTCTGAACTCTTTTATTTTTTCTCAACAGAACCAACAATAAACTTTCCCACCCATAGGGAAAACAAGACAAACCTACAACTACAAGACTTTGGAATTAAATCAAACTGGTCATTTTTATGGCCACTGCAATTTATTAAAAAATTCATAATGCGTTTTCGACGACAAATTTGACAATCGTCATGATCCCAAACTCTGTCTCTGGCGCTCATAAGACCTTATGCAGAGGCGAGCGCCATAAAACTTCTACTAAATATATAATTATATATATATATATATATATATATATATATAAACTAGGTCTCTCACTTGCCAGAAAGAAAAATGTGCACAGACATTGTGGTGAAATCAGGCACCTGTCAAAAAAAATTAAAAAATGAAGATACCAGCATTTCCCCAAAAGTTTGGTTTTTTTCACTGAATTTTTGTTTTCTGCCCCAACACCATTTATGTCCATTTAAAACATTTCTCTAAACTTCTACTTTTAGACCCACACACAAAAACAAAAGCACTGTTTTGAGGACTAAACTGCCATCATTTTTGCTGCAGAACACACATGGCCACTAAAACCCTTGCAAGTCAATTGTGTTCAAGTAAATATCAATCCTAATTGCCAAAACATCAAAAAATGGTTAAATGCAGGGGCGGGGCGGAGGGGGGGGGGTCCAGGTGGGTATGCCCCTCCTGAAACCCCTCCATGTTGTTAAAATTTAAGTCAAATATTACTACACCACTGGTCCTACTGTAATATAATTCTGTTTTCAAACATCAATAACTCAATAACTATTGATTTGCTGCAAAAGGAAGGCCATAGTCGTGTCCAGCATACATTTAAACTACTATTCGAAAAAAAGTAGGCTATTTCAAACGCTTACACGAGACGGGTTGGTGACTAAAAAAAAACGCCACATTTTTAAGTGTGTTTCCCCCCCCCCCTCCCAAAAAAAAAAATTTTTTTAAATAATTAAAAGCACAAAAAAATATAAGTTACTTACCAAAGACTATCAAGTCAAGCTATGGAAGTCACCTATTTACCAGTTAGCGTAGAGGTTATATATACATCTGGAAGATAGCCGCACCTTCATCTATCATACTCTGGCCTTGTTTAGCAGTCCCCCAAATACGAATAGATGTCTACTGTTATTACACTAGTCTAATAATAGCTATTAATTCTATTATTATTATTATTATTACTATTGGCATTGGCCTTTCCTTTCTAAATACAGTGGAACCGGTGTAAGACAGCCACCCATTGTCAAGGAGAAAAGTGGCCGTATAAGACAGGTGGCCGTCTGATCTTAGGCAGGAATGATCAAAATGAAAAAAAAAAAACCCACTCCCTTCTGAGGTCCCAACCGAAGGTAGATGCATTGTTGTTGTTGTTGTTGTTGTTATTGTTGAGGTTGTTGTTGGTTTGTTTTTTGTTTGCTTTTTTATTTTGTTGCTTATTTTGTGTAAGGGTGACAATAAAACTAAAACAAAGTAAAAGAGTCTGACGAATAAGATCAAAATAGGCCTACAAACACATGGGTCACCACCACTCAGAAAACGAGCGGCGCTTCTGTAGCAAGTCCATGTTGACATCCATTGTTACTTTGTTACAGACAGGGTAAACGGTGACCACTCATCTCACTTAGGATATGTGTATGTATGAGTTCTGGGCGGGGCTTATGGGTTATGAGGGATCAGACGCTTACCTCACCAGCAGCTGAAAATGTGTTACCCATTGGTCAACAGTAGGAGGGGCCAACACAATATGATCAATTTCACGGACTGCCTGACAATAACGACAGGTGATTGGATTTTAAGACGGCTCACCCACAACGCCAGGGGCCAAAGCATTATTTATGACAAAACGTAATGGAGTAACTAAGTTGGCCATCTAAGACAGGTGTTATTGCTTGGTGTGATAGGAGTTGTGTGTTAAAATACTGTGGCAGCGGCCGCGTTGGACAGGTGGCTGTTTTACACAGTGAAATTACACCGAAAAAAACGCAAAGGGGGGGGGAAAGAAAGTTTAGAAAGTGGCCGTTTGATAGAGGTGGCCGTCATGGCAGGGGGTCGACCAAAGATTCTCCTACCAAGATAATGCACTTGCTCTTTGGGTTTTTCCCGCGCCGTGGTGGGCCCCACTTTGCCGCATAGCACATGATGGGCTGCGTCACTAGACGACGTGAGGTTGGTTTCATCGCCAACTGCTTGGTGTGTGTGTGTGTGTGTTTATGCGCAAGTGTGTATTATACAATTCATTATATATGTGTGTGAGTGAGTGTGTGTGTGTGTGAGTGTGTGTGTGTTGTGAGTGTGTGTGTGTGTGTGTGCTTGTGTGTGAGCGTGACCACGAGAATTACTAAGATTGTTTAAAGATAACACAAATTTTTTTTAAGGAACAAGGGAGAGGTGCTGTGAAAGAGGAGGAAGAAAAGAAAACTGAAAATCAACAAACAAAATCGAGGAAAATTATTTAAAAATTTTAAGTGGCTTGTACTTAAATAGCTAACTGGTCATTACTTATTGAGCTCACTTACTGGTCGACTTTCATCGACTCATCTATATGGGTGCCGGGTGCAACAAGTGCAACTATTTTGGACAAAATCCACAATAACTACTTTAGTGCAATTTTATTGGGTGGGATATGTCTGTGGTAGAAAGACGAATCAGAATGGTTGATCGGGCAAGAGTCAAGGACCACTGCTCATTTGGCGCTGACCTCTGCGACCTATTTCGGCGAAGACGACAAATGACACTTGGTCACTGTAGCGCCAGTGCAAACATACTCAGCCTTGTTTGCAAACAAACATCATCTGACATGATCGACCGACCGACCAGGGTTATAAAATATTTTTTATATAACTTGAATAGTGCGTATTTCTGACAGTATTGACATGGGTGAGTTGATGTGAAAGAACAGGCGGGCGAGGGGAAAACGGACGGGAAGCGGGGTGGCGTTTACTAAAAAAAAAATATTTAGAATAGTGCAAGAAATTTATTTGCATTGCTTTAGTGGTGGCCAGATGGTCACCTATCGAACTTATGTAGTCTGCTGTCTAGTCATTCGAATCACAATAAATTTATATATATATAATGGTTAAAGTGTCGTAGTTAGTCTAGCACGTTGTCACTAGTCAAAATCATATTAATTACAGAAACCACACAAATATAGACAGTGAGCTATGAGAGTAAATTTCTTTGTCCAACTTAAGAAGTGAACTTATTGTGGTGACAAACAGTCTTGCTTCTCACATTCTTTCTATAGACTTGATGTCATATTATATCAATCTGGCAGATTCAAACTGTCCTTGGGCTTGTTGTCTCTTCTTAGTGGTAAGAAACAACAACTCTCTCTCTCTCTCTCTTTGG